AACTCTATTAAAAATAATAAAGGGTATTTTTTTATCTATTAGGGTAGTGACTAGTTTATAATTTTTAAGACTAAAACGGGTAAGGATCTTATTAATATAGTCACTTTAAGAGAGGTAGATAAAACTATTATCCTCGCCTTTTCTATAGTATATATTAATAGTAAGATATCTTTTAAGGACTCCTTTATCGGATATATTAAAATATCTCGAAATAGCGATCTTAAAGTCCTTAATCTCTTAATCTAATAGGGATATAACTAGTAGATCGTCGACGTAAATTATAACGTATAAGGGGGCTATTCTATATTAAGGACTACCGTGCCTAATAAAGATAGAATAATCTAACTAAGTGCGAGTGAAACCTATAGATATAAGTATATTATAGAGTAGTTTATACTACTCTCTAGGAGACTACTTTAATCTATAAATTATTTTTATTAGGAGACTAATATTATTAGGATACTATTCCTTTAGTCCCTTAGGTAATTCTATCTTAATAGGCTCCTTTAATTTAGTATAAAAGAAGGCGGTTATAATATTAATATAGTGTATTTTCTAACCTTTAGAGGTAGTAATTATAGTAAAGATTTTAAAAAGATATAGGTTTCGTAATAATAGTATAGATCTTATAGAAGTTAAGGTCCTTAATCTATCGAAAACTATAGGTAACTAGCCGAGCTTTATAGGTTCTATTATATTTAATCTTAAATACCTATCGTAATATTAGGGGTCGTCGACCTTTTTTCGATAATCGAGGAATATACCGCTAAGTACTATTTTTAAGTTATCGAGCTAGTTCTTTATATACTACTACTAACTATTTATCTTTTTTAATATAAGATATAGCTTCCTTCTAGCTATTTAGTTTAAAACCTATATCTTTAGACGTTAGCTTAGATAGAGTATATTACTCTTTAGTTATAGCTATAGTAAAAAGATTAATTAAGATATCGGGAGAATTAGCTAGAAATTATAGGATATTTACGTTAAAGAATAATTAACTAGCTAAGCTTTTAATATATACCTAACTAGGCTTCCTAAGTCTAGTTAAACGTCGTACCCTATCTTAATTAGACTTAGTCTATCGAGATCTAGTCGGGATAACGAAATCTAGATTATCTATACGCTTTAGAAGAGTATCTAAATACGAAAAATCTATAATAAACTACCGGGAAGTAGTCTATAGCTCTATAGGAGCCCTAACCCTATCTATATTAAAGTAGGGACTATAAGAATCCTACCGTTATCCCTCTATACTACTACCTAAACTACCCGCTATTTTATTATTAAGAGGTAACTTAAAGGAATTAGGATTCGGAAGGAGATCGTTAAGAGAGGTATCGTAGGATTAAATATTCGGTTCTAAGATAAAAGGACTAGTAGTATCTAGTAGGGGACTCGCCGGAATATTATCTTTTAGGTAGTCTTCCACTACTAGGGGGGTAGTATAGACCTAATACGAATCTTAAAAGGATTATTAAATTATAGGATATTATACTTATTTTCTAGGGGAACCTTAGTATCTAGTAGATCTTCGTATTCGTCGTAAATAAAGTCGATCGGAATATATCGCTCTTAAGACTAAGATCTAGAATAAGATTAACCCTAAGATAGTATTTATAGATTATAGTCTAGTATAAGTAGTACCTCTAGAGTCGGATTTTTATTAAAAATAATATTCCGGGAACGCTTAATCTTCTTAGTACGTATATTATATAGTATATAATTATCTCCCTCGTTATAAGTAATTAATCTCGCTTCCTATATATATAGATCTAGCTTTATAAGGCGTTTTTCCTTTAGAATTAAGAACTAGTATTAATAGCTAAGTATATATAAATTACTAAGATTAGGCTTCTTTCTATAAAGGGCCTTATAAGAGGATATACCGATCTTCGAGGTAAAGAGTCGGTTTATAGTGTAGTTAATTCCCCCTAGTAGATAACCCTAAAGGTATTTCGGAAGCTAGTATTTAGATATAATAGTAATAAGGGGTTTAACGAGGTATCGATTTTTAATCTCGGTAATACCGTTTAGCTACTTTATATAAGGAGGAGTAGGGTCCTAAATAATACTATTTTACGAGAGATATATACCTAAAGGCCGATACTCCGAGGTATTATTACTATAAACTCTTTTAACTTAATAGCTAAACTAAGTTTAAAGATAATTTTTTAGCTAAATAAAGGTCTTAGTTACCTAAGACCGAGATTTAAGTAGAAAAAGCTAGTAAAAGCGCGTAGCGTCGTTAGTAAAGGTAATAAAGTATTTTTCTCTACTATATAATATAATTAAGATTAGACCCTAGACGTCGATATATAGATATTCGCCTAGTTTAGACCTAATAGACCTTTCCTTTCTAAAGGGGAGAGTATAATCCTTACCCTTAATATATAGAGTATAGGGAAAAGTAACGCCGGTACCTTTTTTTAATTTAATACCTTCGGTATAGGTTTCTATCTTACGAACCCTATTTTCTCTAGTATAATAAGTACGTCGGTAAGCTAAGTTAATAGAAATTATAGAAGACCTATTTCTATTTTTAGTAGTAAAAATAGAGTTTAGGGATCTAGTTAGTATATCTAGATTATTAGAAAGTATAGTATCGATTTTATTAATTCTTAGGTAATTAAGCTAGTAGTATTCTCCTTTATAGGTTATAAAACTAATAGTAGAATTAGTAGCTTTAAAAGTTATAATACTATTTTTAACTAAGGTACCGATATCTTCCTTATCTAGTGTAGATATAGAGATTAGGCTAGCCTTAAGATCTAGGGTAAGCTAGACCTTATATAAGATAAAAGGTCTAATATATTCGTCTAATATATTTAATATTCTTAAAATAACGTCTCTATAGCCCTTAGTATAAAAAGTATCGCCTATAGCCGTAGATACTAGAACTATATAGGGCCTAAAATTAATAAAGATAGACCTATAAGGGGTTATATAAGTACTAGTACCGGAATTAATTATCTAGCGAGAGATATTATTATTATCTCCTATAGATAGTTAACCTTATTTTAATACTATAAGTATACTAAAAATAGTATTTATAAAGAGATTATTATACTTCGTAACTAGATCTCCTTATTAAGGGAAAATAGTATTTACTATACGGTTTAACGAAATAATACGACTCTAACTATCTACCTAACCTATAACTTAGCCTAGCTAGGGAACTAGGACTTACTAAATAGTATATTATTACTATAGTTATTAATAAAGGACTATATTAGAAGATATACTATTTTTCTATAAAGGGTAATTCCTAGAATAGTGATTTCCTAGGACGTTATAATATTTATAAAAGATAATATTTTCCTCCCGTTTAAAAGGCTTCTTTTTCTTCTTATTTTTATCCTTACCCTTAGGTTTAGACTTATCTTTAGAGGAGGAAGTATTTCTACCCTTTTTATTATTCCTACTAGACTTCTTATCCTTATTAGAAGAGTCCTTAGTAGTTATAGTATTAGTAGATAGGGTTAATTAGGAAACGTTAAAGAAACGATTATTAGTCTCTACCTCGATAAACTTAATATATACTCTTTCTATAAAAGTCTTATCTTTTTTATTAACTCGTAGGTTCTATAAAAAGGAAAGATAATAAGGATTCTCTATAATAGCCTTTTTAAACTAATATAGCTTAATTATTTAAGAGGGCTCTTCGTCTATAGTAACAAAGTTACGAAGGGCCTCTTAAAATCTCCTTATAAAATCCGAGGGAGATCTATTCTTATACCGTAGGTTAACCCACTTTAAATAGTAGGTATAGGCTTATTAATAAGACTTTATTATATATATCTTCCGAAGCTTATTAAAAGCTTTACGTATATCCGCAATTTAAGTAATAACTAATAAAGGCTCGGGTACGAGAGTTTTCCGGATATAAATAAGGGTTCGGGTATTATAAGATTACTAGTTATTAAGCTTATTTTCGTACTTTTTCCGAAGTATCTTATTAATTTCCTTAATCTCCTTTATTCTTTCTCGGACATCCGTAGTAGTGATCGTAATATTATCGTCACGTTATACCTATGCCTCCCGTGCTTCCGCGAGTAAAGCCTATTCCACAGCCTATCGAGAGACTTCGAAGTAGTTAGGTTTACTTAGGGAGGGAATACTATAAGAGATTATCCTAGTATAGTATCTATTATTAGTAAGAAGGGCTAGATATATAGCTATCTTCTAATCTCTATAGTTAGACTATCCTTTTAGTTTCGGTACTAAATCTATATAGTCAATCTTATATCGACTAATAGCGAAGTCCCTAATATTAAAGGACTCCGATATATTGGCAGTCTATATAGGGTTCGGTAGTTAATAAGAAGGTCGAACGGCTAATAAGGTTATACGGCGGTCAATAGAAGAGTCGAACGGCCAATAAGGTCTGTTTAGCGGTTAACAGAGAAGTCGAACGGCTAATCAGATAATAGGATCCTATATTCTACCTAGGTATTCGGATACTAGAGAGAAATTGGGATAACTATATAGGGTATATTGGGTGGGTGGGTGGGGTAGGGTGTTGTTGGGGTGACTAGTGAAAAGTCTGCAAAAACACCCCATAGTGGGTCGGTGCGACGCAGCACTAGGTTCTCGTCGGAGGAATCAGAAGATGCGAAGCTTGCAGTTATATAGAGGCTCCGACAGCAAAGGACTCATAACCTGATAGAGAGATGATCCTGTACGACTACTTATAAGAAGGAGTGGACTGGAAAATCTTGTATTGTGCGTTAAGAGAGAAAGGAAGAATATGGAAAGCTAGCTAGACTAATGTACTAGGAGATCACGTGTTCGCAACAGAAATTCAATCAAAAATTGACGGCTGTTCTACCATTTTAGCACCGTAATCTTAGCTATCTTTAAAATTGGCGAGCTTTAAATTTACAAAGATACAATATTAGCCTTTCCATAATTATTCAAGAGGCTAAAATTAATCGAAGTAAAAATTATGGAGGCAATAATATTAGAGTCGTTCGGTGTTAGCCGGAGATAAGGAAGCGCTAGTAAGGATCCAAGATGTGGGTTCCCTTAGACTCCTTACAGGCTAGGAAGACCGAGTCGTCTGAGTGAACCGAGTAGTCTAGGAAGACTGAGTGGTCTAGGAAGACTGAGTGGTCTAGGAAGACTGAGTGGTCTAGGAAGACTGAGTGGTCTAGGAAGACCGAGTGGTCTGGGAAGACTGAGTAATCTAGGAAGAACGAGGGGTCTGGGAAGACTGGTTGGTCTGGGAAGACTGAGTGGTCTAGGAAGAACGAGGGGTCTGGGAAGACTGAGTAGTCTAGGAAGACCAAGTAGTCCAGGAAGACTGAATAGTCTGAGTTGAGCTTCTCCAAGGTGGAGCAAGGAGTAGTCAGGAACCAATCACACATTGGCCCTCTGATCCATTGCTACTCCTCCACTTTTGTTTTTAAACTGTACCTCGTGCGTGATTCCCCAGCTCGCTGCCAACCGCTCCTTAGAGTAATTATATTGATTTTATGATGTCCCTCCACCACGCCGTTAGTTATCGCAGTACGACTACCTAGAAAAGTACCAGTTACAGTAACCACATTATGCAGCTTTCTCGGTCTTTATTATGATCATTAGCCTCTAAGCCTAGAGCATCGTATCAGAAGCAGGACGGAAAAATAAAGAGAAAGACTTAGGCGCAAGAGAAGATTTGAAGCCGTTGATTTAACGAGTTGGCTATAAACCACGATCCACTAGAAACGGAACATCTAGCTAGCCAATGATATCTCGCATTTGCCACCCCTGTTTTGGGTTGGCAATCAGGTCTCCGTGAGTCTTCATATGTAGTCTTCCTTACGGAACACTCTTCCTTGTGGAGCCCTCTTCCATATGTAGTCTTTTTCCTTACGGAGCCCTCTTCCATCTGGAGAACTACTGCGTATGGAAATCATCTTTGGACTATTGTGATGATGGTTGCATGAAATCTCTGACTGAGGATGGGAAAACAAGGTACTTTCTGGTAAAAGTTCCGCTTTGGCCTGACGACTTCATATAGGTTGTTGCGGTGTATCGTTATCAGCCTGCTGCAGATCCTGGTCTGTCACTAGCATTGGGGCTGGATAGTAGGAGTTCTTGATAGGTCAGTCATATTTTCATCAGAGCCATAGTTTGAAACATACTAATTGCGAGCTAAGGAAAGCCCAAAATCCCGAAGTATCCGCTGATAAGATATGTACCTTGCCCGTCTCTCGGATACGAATTCCCACGCATACATCTGCGCTGCACATCCTGCTATATTCGCATGCCTTTTTCATCAGACTTGTTTTGCGACGGCATTGTTTTTGCCGCATCAACTTTCTTTTCGAAACGACATCCTTAGGCCTGGTAGCTAGGCTTCTCCAAAACCCAACTTGGGTCCAAACTTTGGACCTAAGACCCAACCCATATAGGTTTTGGGTCCGACTTCTATAACCTAACCCAACCCAAGACCCAATACTAGGTACCTATTAGGGCCCTAGGAAAACCCAATTTTGCATAAATTAGAGCTCTTAGCGTTTATAACCCTACGAAGTCATCGAAATAAAATACTATTTTTTACACTTATTTTAGTTTCCCTACTATATTCTTAATAACCTTACCTACTATAGTAGGAAATTTCAAATAATCTCTATAAAATAGAAGTGAGAAAGCCTAGTTTTAAATTATTTACTTTATAGAATTATAGATTTACTTCTTATAGTACTATTTACCTAAAATAGGAAAAATATTATTAGGAATATAGAGAAATATATATTTAACTTATATAGAAGTAGTAGTATTTTTTTAATAAGAGGAAATATAAATTTAAATATATTAATTTCTACTCTAAACTATTAATTTTCTATATAAAATAAAAGCTAGTCTTCTCTATTTAGGTATATTTATTTAGGTATATTTATCTATTTAGCTAACTTAGTAAGACTACTAAGATAAAATATATCTTACTCTATCTATACGAAATATTTTAAAGATCTTAAGAAGGAATTAGGGTAGGAATTAGGCTTTCTTAGGTTCTTTTAGGTATTTATTAGGTTCTTTTAGGTATTTATTAGGTCTAATTAGGTTCTCTTAGGTCTAATTAGGTTAGATCTATATAAATATTTATAATTTAACTAATTAATAGCTATCTTAGTATATTTCTTTTAATTTATCTTCTTTTCTCTTCTACTTAGTTAGTAATTTTATTTAAGCTAGTCTATCTAATATTATAAGTATTCCTTCTCTCTCTTATCTTTTTAGTATCTATAATCCTATTAAAAGCCCTATTATATCTTAAAGCTAGTATTCTAACTTTCTATTCTTAATTTATAATAGAGATATAAGTAATTTATCCTACTATATACTATCTAATTATCTAGTAACTCTATCTAGTAACTAGGCTATACTATCTAACTTTTATTACGATTTTCTTTAACTAGATTACCCTCTACCTTTTCCTCCCTCTCTTACCTATATTAAACTAGACCGGTAAAAAGTATTTTTTCTTTATAATATAGTAGAATATACTAAATAGATTAAGTAGTAGCTATAAACTAATTATAAGAGAAAGAGTAAGATTTATTAGGATATAGCCTACTAGTCTACTTTTTAAAGTAATTTCTACTAAGTTACTTAGAGTATAGATAGCGTACTAAAGGTTATATATAAGCGCTATAAGAAGATTCTTAAGTACCCTTATTCTATTAGACTAGGTTAAGCGGGATATTATAATATATCGACTATAGTAAAGTATCTAAAATCTATAAGCTATTAAAGGTCTATTAGGCGGAAGAATATAGATATTATAGGTTTTCTAAAAAATAGAGTATATTCTCGATAATCGCTTTATTCCTACTATACTAATATATTCTAATCTAAATAGTAATAAATATTAATTAGCGTCTTTTTCTCGTAACTAGAGTAGGAGGAAGAGATCTTATAGTTTCTTACTCTTAACTAGCTCCCCTTCTATCTTATTAAGTATCTAACCTTCCGTAGTCTTATCTATAAGGCTCGCTTTATACCCTCCCCTCTAATAATCCTATCCGTAAATATAATCCGTTAGTAACTATAAGGCCTAGTTATAAACCGCTAATAGGCTATCCTTCGGCTACTACTACTAAATTATAAGATTTCTATTATACTTAATTACTAGATTTCTCCGTTTTTATAGATATTTATAGTTATAACTAGCTATTTTATTAATATAGACTAGGTTTATTAAGAAGTTCTTCTTAGTTTTAAACTACTTTCCGGTTTATATATTAGCTTAAATCTTAGTAATATTCTTTTTAATATATTATTTAAATATAAGATAGAAGATCGGATATTTAGATTAATAACTAATAATATATCTAATAATAAGATATTAGCTAATTCCCTTTAGTAAGCTTTACCTAATAATATAAATATTATCCGAACTCCTTACTTTACTTATATTATCTAGCTTAGTCTTAATTAGCTTTTAGATCGTCTTAAGGTAGTCCTTTTAAATAATACTACTTAGACTAAATAGACCGAAAGATAATTAATATTAGCCTAGGCTAATATAAAGCGCTAGAGTTATAAGATCTCTTATATCTTAAATAAGGTCCGCTATCTTACGATATATATCTATATAAGCCTTTAACGGCGTAAGATATTTAATAGCCTCTAAATAAAGGAGCCTAAAGTTATCCTAATATAAGATATAAAGACTTAGTAGAATTTAATATATCTAATACTTCGTCGAGTAAAACGACTTTATACAGTCTTTTTATCCTTCTATATAGAGTATAACTATAAAGAAATACTACTAAATAATAAGGAATAGCGCTAAATCGACTATCTACTATATCTTACTAAGCTATTCTTTAAATATATAACTAAGATCTTAAAGACTCGGGATATAATCTTATATCTTATATTTAAAATTTATAATATATTATTCGAGTATCTTAAAAAGTTAATAAAGTAGCTCTAGCGGAAGCGGGTTCTATAGAAAAAGTATATACTTAGGTCTTTTAAAGCTAGCCGATTAAAGCTAGATAAGTACTACTCGTAGATAGATAAGGTTAGAGGATATATCTATACGATTAGTACTATACTAGCTCCTAATAATCGGTTCTAATTCTTCCTCTTAGACGATTAGGATAAATTATAGCGGGATAAATATCGGAGCGCCTTCTAAGTAGCTCTTACTCCTTACTAAGAGTATCTATCGAATACCCTAAGTGTAATAGGCTCTTATACTATACCGAGGCTAAATTCGAGGCTTAGTAAGATATTAAGTAGATATAAATTATAGATAAAGCTAGTTAGAGATAAAGCGATATAATACCTTAATAGTAATATATTTAAATTTAAATTATAATTTATCTATATATAATACTAACTACGCTTTAGATCCTATTAATACTAAGCCTCTTTAATTCTAGAAAAAGTATTAAGGTCGTTTTCCTACTATCGCTATATTTATATAAGATATTCTCTTAATTCTAGTAACTAGTATTAGAGTTAAGCGACTTTTTAATACTACTTAGGATATCTACTATTATTACCGCGGTTATATAAAGTCCGAAATAATTAAGGAGCTAATAATATTTCTTTATACTTTAAGGTTCGATCTTAAAAAGCGGGAGGTAAAAGAGCTTAAAAGATTCTTTTCTCTTAATAAGATTAAAGTAATAAAAGAAAAAAAGGATAATAGGCTTAATAATATTAAGATAGATCTTATTAGTAATACTAAAGAGCTAGATAATAGGTCTTATAACCTAATAGACGTTAATAAGGTTAATAAGGCCTAGGATAAGGAAGATAAGGATAGGCTAGTATTACTAGAGACTAATACCTAAATACGGGTCTTAGGGAGAAAGCGGAAATATAGAGAGGATAATATATTTAAGTATTATTAGGATTATTTATAAATAATCTATTCTTTAAGAAATCGGAGTACGGATTATAGTTTTATATATAAATTTAAAATATAATATTATATTAATCTAGCTATAAGGTCGAAATTCGAGATAAAAGTTAAAAGTAAAATATATAAAATTATAGCTCTAAAATATATAAGTTATATAGCTATAGAATCTTAGTATATTTATTATATTTATTACCTAATTAGGTACCTAGGGGTTAGATTAGGTTATCTAGTATAACCTAAAACCTAGCTTAGGTCTAAGGTTTAGCCCTAAAACCCAACCTAAAGTTAGGTTAGGTTAGGTTGGGTCCGGGTCTAATTAGGTTCTAGAGAAGTCTAATTCGGAGGGGTCTCCTCTATCTAAGAGAAAGGGAGCCTAAGGTAGAATAGTATAATAAAGAAATACCGTAATAACTATCCCCCCTTCTCTATAAAACCTATCCCGGGGTTTTAGGTTAAATAAAGGGAAGTATAAGTTATAAGGTAAGAAGGGTTCCTATC